ATGACGCCAAATTGATGAAAGTGTTATTCAGCATTGGAAACATTCCGGAAAATGTAAAGCTGGGTATAAAAATGGTTAGTTTTTTTTATATTCAGCTTGCAAGCTTCCTCCATGCAAAAACAGTGTGGATAGAGGAGTCTACCACTGCGGCTATCGTATTTTGTTAGTCTGTCCCATCACCTGACCAGTACCTGCACTTGATTGTCCAAAACTTTTTACATGGCTCCTTCAAGTTTTCAATTAAAGGATATTGAGCGGGAGCTGGCAGGCAGGGCAGCCCGCAGAACACATTTTGGATGGTTCTTGATCAAATTTGCTCAGTGTATTGCCAGCTTTACTTTGCCTTGCTAAATCTATTATTGATACAAAACTTGTTACTTTGTTAATCGCAGATTTTAGGAAGTTAAGGTTATCGTGTTCTAGATTGGGGGGTATGGCCGGTACTTGTGTGAGGGGCCTAGGCGGCCGAGGAGGTCTGGGCTCCAAGCTAGATTGTTTTATTTCAGTTTAATGTATAATTTGTAGTAGTTTTTAAGGTCGCGGCCCCCCTGTGCACAGGAAGGTTTTTTGTTTTTTTTACATTGACTGAACTTTCTTTAACCCAGGAGCAGTGGAGCACAGCTGCTGGACGTAAAGGTATGGAGGGTGAGGGATATAACAAGATAAGCAGCGCTAGGAGTTCAATTAGCTGTATATCATACAGGTGGCAGTGAATTAAACCAAAATGGTGTTTCCTTAACACATTACTTACTGCAAAGTCAATGTGATGAATTTTTTGTGTATCGGGTCAACACATCAATATAAATAAATATTGTGATGTAAAACACAAGCTGCTGTATTGAAGACCGCTGGGTCTGAAGAGTTTTAAACCAAATTAACAGCGTTAGTAAGTGAATCAAAAAACCATATAAATCGTGTTTGTGAACTACAAATCACAAAAAAAATAATAAAATCACATCGATGCAAGTGCCGTTAAATCAATAAAAAACACGGCACTGTAATAGTTAATAAACCTGTCTATTAGGAGGTGATTTTTAACCAAGTGCTTCTAGGTGTCTCAGTGTGTAAAGATAAAGTGGATCAGTCTATACACATTAAAAAATCCTTCACTTTTTTTCTTTTTTTACACCTTCATGTGCATTAATACCATTAAGTGACAAATCATATGCGTGAAAAAATTCAGGTGGGTAAACGAAAATAATTGTAGGGGGGAGGAGGAGGAGAGAGACACTGCCTGGTGCTGGGGAGAAGAGGAGAGAGACACCGACTTATGCTAGGGGAGGGGGGAGACACCGACATTGGGGTCCCTTAGAAATTTCCTCACCCAAAAAAGGGTCACGAGTGGAGAAAGTTTAAGGCCTGTTCTAGATAACAGCAGTGCAAATAATCTGATGCATCTTGTGAGAAGTGTTCTAGTCTTCCAGTGGGAAATTCCCCCCCCCAGTTTTGCTCTTCTAGTCCCCCCTGACATTCAGACTGCAGGTGTAGATACAAGGAAATAAAAGCTTCCATAGACCACTGCAGAGGAATGTAGACCTCCATAGGCAGCCTTGATTGCAATTGATCATTTCTACCAGGCACATTTAAAGTGAGACAAAAAATAATTAAAGCCATTTACAAAAAATGGAATTGCTGTTCTGCCCTGTAGTTACAAATTAGTAGAAACAAAAACAAATTCCAGACCCAAGTAGGGGCATTTGGCTATAGGCTAGTGTGTTTACATTAGAGAAATTAGTACCGTGCTCAAGAAAAGGGTGTGTGTTTTTAGAACAGGCAGAAATAACTGTTGGTTATCATAAAATGCATGTGTGATATGTCTACCACACAACTACAAGAACTGCCAAATATGATGTTGCATGTGAGGATTTGCAGCTCCTAAAACTTTTTTTTTTTTTTCCATTAAGAAGGCATCTGTACAGTATATATTCCTGCTAATGTCATGAAAACAGGAGAACCACTGAAACCATTAAAGTTCTATTGGGTTACTTGCACATTGAACAGATTGGCTTTTTGCTGATTTGCCACTGGATCAGCAAGTCTAACAGAGGCAAATCATGATCTGCTTGTGTATGGACATTCTGCTAGGAAACAGACAACAGTTTAGGCAAATTGTTTAAAAGCTTTGCTTGGACCTTTATTAAAAGGACTGCCAGAATTCACACAGACCAAACATTACTATGAAGAGCAAAAAATAATAAAAGCATTCGAAAGACACCTACAAAAAGAAAAAAGTACAGACAGCACACCCCTCTGTACTGGAGAACTATAGCTCCTTAACAAAGTCCCTTTATACTCAACGACTTTCCAAAATGGTGAAATGGGGGTGGGTGGGGGCAATGTCATTATGGACAAGCCTTTATATTATGGCAGTCCTCGCATGGTTATTAAGAGACCTGTTAGGATATAGATGCAGATTGCTAGATTTAAAAATCAGAACAGTGTGTTCTGTCTACAACTTTTTGATAGAGCCTGACCAGTTCAGAAAGTCCCAACAATGCTTTACTGAAGAAATCTAGTGCTGCCTGCAAGCTCACAGCAGTGCAGCCCCATAGACTCCGGGCCCAGGTTTTACATAGAGGCTTTGACTTCTCTGCAAGCAGAGAAGAAACTTCACCCTCTGATATAAGATAGTAAAATAAAGCTCTAAAAGGTCCTTTTCACATGGCCATTCGGGCAGATCTGATTGAAGTGCCATGTTATGGGCCAGCAGATGTAAATGGATGTTCATCTACTCATATCCAAGAAAGTCTAGGTCTGGAACTAAAAAAGCCCAATTTCAACCACTAAATGTCATGGGTCCTTCCTCTTCTCATCCAACACCAGGTGTGGGGGGTCCCTTCTGCTGTATGAACAGCCATATGAGGCTGTGTAAGCCCAGTTTAGTACAGTAGTGGAGTGAGTCCAGGCCAGCATGATGATGCACCTCCCAAGCCTGGTCCCACAGGAAGTGGGATGGAAGACACTGGCTGTCATTCAATACAGTTCTAGGCAGATTGAATAGGCATGTAAAAACAACCCTAGAACAGCCATGTGCGATACTGAGGGGAAAAAAAAAAAACTGTAAACCTCATAAAAGTTAAAGCTGATTGAAGGATGTGATTGATGCCGATCCTCCATGAATGAAAAGGGCAGGCCAGAAGACCAGACTGGGAAGGAAAGAGCTAGATGATGCTGGATGCCCTCCAGTCAGAAAATGAGGTAGACTGACTTGCTGCTCCGGGCCATACCACTTTTATCGGAGAGCCCGGGGGAGGCCAGGAGAGAGGGGACAGTCTGACATTATGAGGTTCCACAGGCTGAACCACAAATTCCCCCTCTAGTTCTCTCTAATGCAGATGGGCCGGTCTATGCAGACATGACGCCGCGACCCACTGCAGAGGGTGTCGCGACCCACTTTTGGGTCGCGACCCACGAGTTGAGAACCACTGTTCTAGAGCACACTGAGAATCTTTAAAATATGAACAGAATAACTCATTTCAAATTAGGGCACAAAATAATTAACAGATTGGTCCCATTTCACCTAAAGAGTTCTGCGTCTATAGTCCAAGACATTTTATAACAATTTGTTGCATCCAAAGCCCACCCAAATAAGACGTACCTCTTTTCATTGGCCTCCATTACATCCCGAGATCTCTGCTTCGCTATAAGCTTTGCCATTCGCTTTGCTTTATTTTTCTGCCTGTTACTCATACCCGGTAGAAATTCGGAATCTATAAACTCTGCTGCTTGGAGAGCCTGAAATCAACAAACGGAACGTCTAAGGTCACCCCACATGCGGAAGATGAAATGACAAATACAGGGATAACACATTTAGAATATATCCAAGTTAGATTAAAACAAAACAGGCTTATGGAATAAAACACAACATAGGACTGAGGTTCAAAGTACAGTACCGGATTTTAGTTTAGGAGATGGTATCTGATTGGTTGCTAGGAGTACAGCGTCAATTCCATCTGCAATGTCTTCCTGAATACATCTAAAAGTGCCTTAAAGCCAAGTTTATTCAGAAGCAAAACATTTGTCATTTAGCGTTAACAATTAACTAGGGATGCACCAATGTATCGGCCGCCAAAACATATCGGCCAAAAATGGCACTTTTGGCTAAATGCTGAAAGTGCCATTTTCTGGCCAAAATAGTGGTGCATCTGTTCTTTCCCTCCTCCGTGCTGGGCGCTGCTCTGTGTCCCAGCGGGAAGGAGAGAAACAGTCACAGGTGGCCGTGCGCTGAGGGAGGAGAGTGCTGTGAACGGCCGGCGTCTCTCCTCCCACACTGCTCAGCTTCCTGTCACAGATCGGGAGAGCAGTGTGGGCAGAGACAGCTTACAGTGCTGTCACAGGAGGCTGAGCTCCGCTCGCTCAGCCTCCTGTGACAGCGTGTCAGGATGGAGAGCAAGGTACAATCCCCTCAATGTTATCAGACAGCAGAAAGGTTTACCTACAGGTTTATTTACAAGAGTGTTGCTTGGCATGTAGTCCAGGTCTTCATCATTAAACAGCTCTTCAGTACTCATTCCTATGGCAGCTCCCATGTCAAGGCCTAGCTTTTTCTGCAGCAGCTTCCTTTGCCGTGCTATCCTTTCCTTGGGGTCCACGTCCACTAAAAAAAAAAAAAATTATATTTTGTGCACCTATTAACTTTTACATTGTATGAACCTATTCAGTTTGATTTGAAAATAGGTGTTAAAAACATGCCCAGGTATAGAACGATAAGCCATGTTCGGGTTTTTTTAAAAGGAGGTTTCCCAATGTTGCCCTCTTCTCCCTAACAAGATTGGATATCTATCTAATCTCAATAATAATATTATATATCTTTTTCTATCACAAATTGGTTAACAGTGAGGAAAGATTTTGGAACCCCTGCTTCAGTAGTGCAAACCTTTTAGTGAAAGCAATTCTGTACAGTGCGAGAGGTGGACACTATAAAAGGGATTTATAAAAACTGGAGCAGAGAAAATCTGGAGCAGTTGTGCCTGGTAACCAATCAGCTTCTCTCTATTTTCAAATCTTAACTGAACTGAAAACAGAAGCAGATTGGTTGCCCTGGGCAACTGCTCCAGATTCTGTATGCTCAGGTTTGCTACATTCCACCCTATGTAGTTCTTTAAGTAGAGGTTTTAGTGCAATATGGAAATCCTATTCTATTCTTCCATTCCCTGTGCTGATTGGCCGTAAGTAAAACAATAGCACAACGAGAATAGTGTGAAGGAGAGTAACGTGCGATAGGTTCCAACAGTGCTTTTGCACGTCATTCAATGACAAACTCTGCTACAACCCAAGCGGTTATCAAGACTGGGCCAGATTTCTAGTTCTGTTCAGACAGGCTTGTGATCAGGGGTATACCATGCCAGACAGCAAATTCAGGTCAGTGGCTTCACTTTTCACACTCCAGTCAAATATCCTTTTGATGGCACATTGAAGAAGTAGAACCATAAAATAAGGTAAATCGCTGTGCTATGACCTGTCAGCATAAACTGACAGCACTGTACAATGGCACACAAAAATCGGCAAACTCAGATACTACCGCTAATTAATTTGAGAATTTTAATGTTTTACTGAATTTTGTTTTATGTCTGGACCTACATTTCTTGTCCAGATTTTACTTACAGCATTTTATTTGTGCCCTTTATGCAGCTTAATCACAATTCATAAATGGAGTGTCAGTAGGTCATAGGTTACTTAAAGTCTGCTGCCTCGACTACATGACCTCACACATGCTGCCAACAGAGTCAAGTAACAGGCCACAGTAGCTGTGTATAGGCTTCCAATTTACTAGCTTATGACAAGAATCGGGTAGCCGAGTCATTAACACGTTTGTCATATTGTACATACAAGATCCTGACGTTTACCATACACACGTTTCACAAGTAAGCTTAGGCAGTTATGAACATTTCAAGGTTATAGTCGGAATCCTGCATAACCCCAGTTGCACAGAGTTCTCCAAGTATTACATAGTCTAGCATTTAAGCCATTGTAAAGATGACCTGTATTACCTGATTTGTCATCTTGAACTTCAAATTCGACACCAGCTGAGCCCAGCAGTGAAGCACCGTGTTTTAACAATCTTGATATGTCAAACCTGTCAAAGCTCAGTCTGTCTGCCAGAGGAGACTCTTCACTTGAACATTCTGAACCGGCCTCTGAATTACAAGAAAAAGGGAGGAGTCAGATACAATATTACCCATTTTTAAGGTCAAGGCATCAAAAACTGGTTTTTAATTGTAGTTCCCCAAAAAAAAAAAAAATCAAAAGCTGACTTTTGCACTGCAGGGGCTGGAGTCCTTACATATGCAAATGAGGTATTCTGCTCCACCTATGGCATCATTAGAACATAGGTAAACATTTTAGAAATCATGCATCTAAAACCAAAAAGCTTGCTGGATATTGAAACACCCTAACTTTTTTTTTTTTTATTTGAACACACACACACGATAGATCCGGTTTATGACACCAAGGTACCTTTCATGGCTAGTTCACACCAGCCCCAGTGCGTTCCAGCACGATTCGGTGCCGGAACGCACTAGATCACATCCTTGCTGTCTCACCATGTTCTGGGGCGGGAGGTGGCATGGTGGTGCATTGAAGTCAATGGCACCACAGCCATGCCCCACAGCTGCAGTGCGATCACCCACGTCGGAACGCGTGGCACATCAAGGTCTGCGTTCCGATGCGATCAGAAAAAATGCTGCTTGCACTATTTTTTCTGATCTAACCAGACCGGAACACACTGGGGCTGGTGTGAACTAGCCCTCAGACAGACCCAATAGAACGCCCAATGCAAGTCTATGGGCAGCTGTGTTTAAAACGGGTAAGTGTTTATACATGGGTTACCCCTGCCTCTACAAAAACAAATTGAACAGTGTTCCCTTTCGACGGACTTGATGGTGACGGATCGGAGGTAATCTAATGTAAACGGACACCTGATCCTTAAGACCAAAAGCTTGGATGATGGTCCACCTAGAGATGGTGGAACAAGAAATTGGAACACCCTTCTGGGGTCTATCTGGCTGACAAAATAAAAACTAAAGTCTGAAAATTAAAAAGGTAGGAAACATTGGTGGGCTGAGAAGATTCACTGATGTCCAGAGAAGTCTGAAAGTCTGCCTGGTGAAAGGTAATGACAGATTTGGTGAATTGCATACAAAATTTCTGGGCTTTAATGAAGGCGTTAAGAGGTTTGAGAGCCAAGCTGCCCCTTTTGAGTTTGGGAACTGTGAACAGGTTGGGAGAAAATCCTTTGAAACCGTTCAACCACAGCAACTGGGGCAATGACATCTTGATCCAAAAGACCAGAGAGCTCAATGGATATATGCAAATCTGTGTGAGGACACAAAGGTTGGAGGGGAGAAACCAAAAAGGAGGCTCAGCAAAAAAACTCCAGTTCGTAGCCCTGGGATACCACCTCCTGAAGCCAAGCAATGGAGATGCACGCACAAAGGTAACTGTGCCCCCACCGTTAAGATCACACAGCCTTTGTCTTAATTGAGCACTGCAGGAAAAGGGTCCTGCCATGTCAGTGTGGTGTCTGTGGGGGGGGTTGTTGTACTAATTGGTCTGTAGCCTGTATGTGGCCAATTCCATACTCCGGTGCAGCAGGGGGTGAGAATGCCTGTTGTAGAAGTAGTGGGTGCCAAGGAACAGCATGGAGGCTGTCTGACAGCTGGTGGCAATAGGGGTATGGGAGGCAGCAACAGGTGATCAGATTACCAAGCAAGCACATGCGGATCAAAAGGTATTTGATCTCACACGCTATGCAGTCCACAGAGCCTGGATGCGAGACCCATGCAGGAGATGAGACTGGAAGCTTCCAGAAGACCATCACGATTGAATTTTAAAGCTGCAGCCATTTGCTCTACATGCTCAATCAACCAGAGCAGTGGATGTCTTAAGGCATTTGACGAGTCAAACAAACATGGTTTGATAAAGTAAAGTCGTAGCCAAGTTGGGGTGAAGGGCAAAGCCTGCCAGTGAGAAAAGAGATCCAGATCTCTTCAGAGTGGTGCTGGGCAAACCGAAAACAGGTGCATGACTAGTATATACTCCTTTGCCAGGATGTCTTTCTGAATTTGCTTCTTTTACTGACAGATCTAGAAATTTCAATTAAAACTAAATATTTGTCCACAGATACAGATCTATAAACAGAGGTAGCTTGAGACTGTGCGGCCCGGTACCATTTGATCCGCGGACCGGGGGTTGGGGACCACTGGCTTAGCCCATCATGCCTGTAGGAGATTGTCAATATCTGAACCCATGAACAAAAACGTGGCACAACATAATCAAGCTGCTAAACGTACCCAGGACTAATGCCAGCCAATTCCAGCAACAGGCCCAAGCAGGCTTCCATACTCCAAAAAAAACTGATTGGCGATTACAAGACATTGTAACGTTAACAAGATTAATCTCAAAATGTAGCCAACAACATTTAAAACTGTAGGACCTCCTTGAACGCACAATAAAGAAGCGTTGCTTTGCAAAGCACAGAATGCCTTTATCCACAAAAATAAAAGTAGGAAAGACAGATAGGCGCAAGTCATTTCTGACAGGCAAAGACATTTAGAATGGATAGAGACTACACAAGTAATATCAATACCTCTCTTCAGCCTGGTTGCTGGATTCCACTCAGGAACTTTTTTCACAACGGCCTCCACTGCCAAACCAGCTGCAATACGGGTATCCCAGTTTGGACTTCGCAGATAGATCAAGACCTAAAAAACACAGCACGGAGATACACTGTTACATTCTATAGTGCACTTTGAGAAATTGAACAAAGACATCAGTAGGTAAAAGGTCTCACTTTTGACAACAGGTTGTTGAGTTCATGTGGATGAAGCTTGATCACTTCCCCGAGCTGCTGTGCGGCTGCTTTTCGTGTGACTGGAGTTGTTCCCGTGTCCAATAATATGAAGAGGCGGTCCAACCTGAAAGAAGAACATGTTGTAATAACCCATCCTTGGAAGGACATACATTCCTCACAAATATGCCTGCAATTTTATGTCTCCAAGAGTCACAAACTGGCATTAATAGGATAAACACACACACAAAAAAATAAACCAGAAAAAAAAACAAAAAAAAAACACCACCACAGTGATGAAAAAGAAAGGCGGACAAAAGTGAAAAGTTGCATCCTTCATTTTATGGTACATAATTCTGATTGGCCAACATGCCCACGTTGTGCCAATTTTTTTTTCAGCATTACTTTAATCAGCCTATAAAGCAGAGTGTACATGTGACTAAGCATGGTGTATTTAAGGGCTTGTTCACACCAAATGCAGACCAGATCTGCATGAGTTTCTGCACACTCAGTGCATTGTGCCGCATTTTTGGTATTAAAACTACGAGCCCAAAATACCATTGGACGCAGTTTTGATCCGGTCAGTAACGGCTCTGCTCTTGGAATGCTCATTTTGTTCTGCTACAGCAAGTGAACCTTTGCTACAGGTAAAGTTTATCACATAAAAAACAAAACAAAAGCAGCACAGCAAAAAACACAACAAATTTAAAAAAACACATCTGTACCATATAGAGCTATACAAATACTTTTCATGGGGCCATCTCAAAGCAGATAATGGTGTCACTAACACAACCCCTTTGCCATTGTTGACCTATACTAAAATATTAATTGCATGATGGCAACTGCTGCAATGCAAACCTGGGGCCTTCCAGCCAGTAGGTATAAACTGTTTCGGGTCATGAAGGGGCTAAGTCAGGAGATATGAGAGGTAGTTTTTAAACAGGATTATTTTGGATTATTTTGGAGTCAGTTCCTTTGACAACTAGAGAAAACCTGAAAAGTTAGACATCAGCTGTACTTTTGTTTAGGGCGCGTTGGTATCTGGCCCCTGGGATTTGGCCAGTCCTGGGTTAAATTAAATTATACAGAGGAGGAGAAGAAAAAAAAAAAAAGAAGAACATTACATTATTATTATTATTATTATTATGGCCAGGGTTAAGACTA